CATGCTTGGGAGGGTGGAGGGACAGCGCAGGAGAGGAAGACCCTCTATGAGGTGGATTGATTCAGTGACTGGGATAATTGGGATGAGAGTGTCAGAGCCGGTGCGATTGGCACAGGACAGAGCGGAGTTTAGGGGTGTTGTACATAGGGTCGCTATGAGTCGCAGGCGACTCGACGGCACGTAACAACAACAATGAGTGTGCAGCCAAGAGGCAGAGGTTCAATCTCAACAGTTGCTCCATGTTTTTTGGGTGGAGGGGAAGTTCAGTGTTACTCTGTTATTGGCATTTCTCTGTTCTTTATTCCCTCAGGAAGAAGATAGTGGTTTTGTACCAGATCAGACAGGTCGTGGCACCAGCAGCACAGACGAGCAAAACCATTCTTAGAGCAGAATGATGTCAGTAGAGCTGAAAGTGGCCGCACACTTGGACCCTCAGATCAAGGCTCTATGGGAGACAAAAGGACCTGTGACTGAAAGCTCTAGTCACAGTAAGAAATCTGTCCCACAAATGGACTGTCCTAGTTCTGAAAACTTACGTAGAGACTTCCGCAACTTCCACTATCTTGAAACGTCTGGACCCATCGAGGCTGTGAGGCAACTTCAGGAATTATGTCATCGGTGGCTGAAACCAGAGATCCACTCAAAAGAACAGATCTTGGAATTGCTGGTGCTTGAGCAGTTCTTGACCATTCTGCCCAGAGAGACTCAGACCCAGATTCAGAAGCACTATCCACAGAGCATTAACGAAGCTGTCACATTAGTACAACACTTGCAGAGAGACTCTGGTCATACAAGGAATGGGGTGAGAAGAAAGATTTCTTTTATCTACAATGCAGTGGGATAAAAGTGGATCTCTTGAGGGGAAGGCTTAGTTTTTAGTTGCCATAGTCTATTCCAACTCATAGCAGCAAATGTGATAACAGCAAACACTGCACAGTCAAGTACCATCTTCACAAGTCCCTTCTTGTCCTTGAACTCTGGTTGCAAGCCATGGTGTCAATTCTTAGCACTTAGAGAAGCACTTCCTTTCTTGCCATCTCTAGGGCCAGGGTAAATTGAGAGTCATGATCCAAATACGGTTTAACTAAAGAGACAAAACTGGAGTGCTTATAAGCAAAAATGGAAAGGCTTGATGTGCAGAGCCAAAAGAGGAGGGGTGGTACTTAGAGGCCAGCAGAGAGCAAATATTGGGAAAAAAAGAAAATGTAGAAAGGAGAGCTTTTAGAAAGAAGAAACTCTCACCATCTTAGCAGAAAAATGCTGTTGCAGAATTGTACCCTCTCTAACAGACAAGAGGCTCCACTACCCTTCTGTAATGGTTAGTCCTAATAAGTAGGGACTGAGTAGACTTTGGGCTGATGTGTGGTGTCATTTGCACCAGATTATTTGGAGGTAAATTGGAAATGCACTCTTCCATTCTAATTTCCATTTCCCTATGAAAAAAATATTTTTATTACACTTCTTACCTAGCCCTGCATTTTGAAAGCAAAAAGTAGATTAGGGTAAATAATGAAAGCAGAGACCCAAATCAGGACCAGAAGCCAGCCAGGCAGCATGAGAAGAACTAACTTGCTTATTGGCTTGTAACCTGAGTTGGGCTGGGTCCAGCTATGTTTTAGGTTGTTAGTAGTCAAGACTTTTAAAAAAATTTTCTATTTTGTGTGCAATTCATTGGGAAAAATAGGTTGTTTTTTTACATCTTTTCACTAATGTAGTCAGTGTCTCAGACTTCTCAGGGCTGGGACTCTACGCTTTCTGCTCCTTTCATCACCACCTTCAAACTGAAAGTAAGTTCTGTGGTAACAAGGTTGGGGATTATTTCCAGGTTATATTCTCAGAGGTGAAAAAGGAGGCAGTGATCTTGGCAGAAACAGCAGAGGCCAAACCAAAGCCAGCAAAAGTCCAACCAGGCCGGGCTCAGGATGAAGAATTTTGGAATACATGCCAGAGTCAAGAACAGACAAGCAGGAATACTACCAAAGAAAGTGAGAGGGTATACAGAAAAGGTAAGGAGCTTCACAATCATTTCCTTTTGGGAACAGTGATAGTAATTTGTGTAACTAGCTGGGTCCAGGTCTGTGGAACTGCAAAAACAGCCATGGTTGTGACTGGTGTCTTTCCCTGGTGATAGAATAGGCCATCTCTGGGTTCAGATAGTGTTAGTCTAGAGTATAGAAATGTTCATACCACAGAAACCAGGTTATTATGCTAGAAACTTTCTTCCTTAGTGAAGTAAGAGAAGTATGGGGAAGAAGAAAATGGAGCAGGGTCAATTTGTATTCCTGAGATACAGGGAAAATTAGCAGGAGGAGTTTCCCACTGCCATCTCAAAGGCATGCAATTCAAATCCAACAGCTGCTCCTCCAAAGAAAGATGGACAGTTTTCTCCTGTACAGTTTATATTTTCTGAAAACCCAGTAGAGGGTCAGCTAGGAGGCAATTTGGAGGCCTTGAATATTTCATTTTCAAACACCATGAAGTCCAGGTTAGCTTAGAGAATCATTTTCTTCCTCATGAATACTGAGAAAAAGTCAACTAGGAAATAGTTGTGTAGTAGGTGGACTTTGTCTTGTGTTTCACAGATACACCCTTCTTTTTACAAATTGAATGTGGTAACACTGTTGAGCAAGTATATTGACCCCATTTTCCCATTAGTATGTGCTCATTTGATACTTCTCTCACATTTTGGTAATTCTTGCATTATTTCATAATCTGTTGCACACTTAACAGACTACAGTAGAGTGTAAGCATATCTTGGATATGTACTGGGAAGTAAGAAAATGCAGTTGGCTTCCTTTATTGCAATATTGTCTTGAACAGGCCCATAATTCCTCCACAGAATACCTGTATAAACTGTATTTGGTTCTTATTCACATCTCGTATTTACAGGTTAAACAACTTTGTATGACTCATGCTTGAATTAGAATTGACTGTATTTTAAAAATGAGCTCAGGACATCTGTAAACAGAAGGAGGATAAATACCCTGTGATTCTTTTCTACCCACAGCTCTGCCTGCACCACAGATTTTTGCTCCTTTTGAGCAGATAAATGCTTCAGACTGGACAGTGGCACCTAAGCCCATCTTGGCCGAGTCCCAGGTGAGGTGTACTTTCCAGATGTTTAGGGCTGCCTGAGCATGACTTTGTGACTTTCTCTGCTGCCTATTGACCCCAGGTTTTTACAGATGCCCAGAGACTGTTAGCCCCAGGTGTTCTCTCTTGGACAACCTGGCTTAAGCCAGTGGCAACTGGGCATCTCCCAAGCTGTTAGCTGATTCCTTGGATTTTTCATTTCTGCTCTCTTTCTTTTTAAAAATTGTGTACTCTTAATTCCTTCAGTGTCTGGCCTACTTTGCAGTTCAGAGACCACATGGTATGGCTGCTTCTGTAGTGCCAGCTACTGAGCTGAGGCCCATTCTCTTCATTAGAGCTTGTTGGCATTTGAAGAGGTGGCCATATATTTTTCTCAGGAAGAATGGGAGTTATTGGAACCCACTCAGAAGTCCCTCTACCATGATGTAATGCAGGAAAACTATGAGACTGTCATCTCTCTAGGTAAAGATTCTCCCTTTACTTTGTGTAGAAGTTGTGTAACTTAGTATGAATGTACTCCTATGAGAAAATCCCTCTGTTCAAATTGCTGGTTGGTTCTCACCTAGATGATGTAAAGAAGAAAGGTTATATCCCCATCACCTGGAAAGGTTTTTTTTTTCTCCCAAATATGTCAATTTCTTAACATAGAGAAATTTTTATTTACTCTGCCTTCTCCAATTAGTTCTTTCCACATTTCAGTAAAGTGTTCATTGTTCATGCAGTTGCTCAGGCATGAAGCTTACAATCCTTTACAATTTTCCCATGAAATGCAAACATACTCTGCATACAGACATATCTCATTTTCCTCTATTCTTCACATACTAGTCTAAGCCACTTTTATCTCTAACCAAGTCAATCTTAACAGCTCACTAAAGGTGTTCCCTGCCTATCCTTGCCCTACACAATCTATTTTTATACAGTGGCTAAAGCAATCTTTAAACAAAGTTTACCAGCTCATGACATTTTCCTGCTCCAAACCCCTGCAGTCATACTCAGTGGAAATGCCCAAATTCTTTACTTTGATACCTGGGACTCTTCCTTATCTTAACTGTACACATTTCTCTCCTTATCTTTTGAGACTGTCACCTTTCCTTAGTCTTCTGTAGCCACACTGACCTTATTTTAATTCATTGAGCTCACCATACTTCCTGTCTTCCTCTATTGGCATCCTTTCTTACCACATGTAGAATTCACTCCTTTTGGGACAGAACCTATGAGTTATAGGAGTAACGGAAACTTGGTCACCCTGTGTTCATATATCAAATAAAAATTAATTGCTACAGGAGACAGTTAAAACATATATATGATACCCAACTACTAACCTTTAGATCAACTCCACAAGACTTGGTCTCATACAACAAGAATCCTCCTAAAGACTGAATAAGACCAGGTTGGATTCTCTGCAGCCTCTGGCCTTTAACTTCACCTTGATGGAACAATTATTTTGGGTGGTAGAAAGAGCAGTGTGTACTAAATTACCTTTCCATTTCCTTTTAATCTATCCACTCAGTTTATTACTTAGTCCTTGCTTTGGATATCTGCCCATAAATGAAGTAGGGTATAAACAAGATAATAGATTTAAGATTCTGTGTACTTAACCTAAATTTGGAGTAACAAACTGCATGTAAAAGAGTGCTTTTTTATTAATTAGAATTGGGGAGATTACTGATAAATTACCAGTTTATGACCTTAGTTTTTCTTTTTCACAGCATTATTTGTGCTCCCTAAACCTAAGGTTATCTCCTGTCTAGAGCAAGGGGAGGAGCCATGGATCCAAGGCCTTGAGGAGTTCAAGAAAAATCATGTAGAGCCTCCTACAGGTAAGTGTACACCATGGAAAAGGGAAATTTACTTTGATAGAAACATTTATAGAGGCTTAACATTTTAAGATTCTACTTAGTTTTTTCCTTGTGTTTCCCCCCCCCCCCATGCTTTTTCTTACCCTAGGTTAATTATGTTTATTTTAACAGAGTTGAAGCTCAAAAATGACACTGGAAGTCATCAGCCTGGACCGATTCCTGCCTTAGAAATAGAAAGTACACGAGATATCATTTCAAAAAAGTCCAGAGTAAAAGTTGTCCAAAAAACAAAAGGCAAAGAAAATCAAGATGAGATGCACAGAGTGGAGAAACGACGTCGAGATTTTCCAGAGAAGAAAAGGAAAAAACTTTCTTCCTGGAAGCAAGAGTTGCTGAAACTCATGGTTCTTCACAAGAAAGCCCATGCAGGAGAAAGGCCTTTTAAATGTCAGGAATGTGGGAAAAGCTTCAGAGTTAGCTCTGATCTTATCAAACACCAGCGAATTCACACTGAAGAAAAACCCTATAAATGTCAACAATGTGATAAGAGATTCAGATGGAGTTCAGACCTTAATAAGCACTTAACAACACACCAAGGCATAAAACCATACAAATGCTCCTGGTGTGGGAAAAGCTTCAGTCAAAACACAAATCTACACACACACCAAAGAACCCACACAGGAGAGAAACCCTTTGCCTGTCATGAATGTGGAAAAAAATTCAGTCAGAATTCCCACCTTATAAAACACCGAAGAACCCACACAGGTGAGCAGCCTTTTTCCTGTAGCACATGCAAGAGAAACTTTAGCAGGCGATCAAGCCTTCTTAGACACCAGAAACTCCACAAGTGAACAGAAACTGTCTGATAACCAGTGATAAAATGTTACCATCATTGGAAAATAATTGGGGTAGGAACATCAAGACAGAAAAGTATCTAACCTGGCTTTGCAAGAAAGGACAGTGATGTATTGCTTTTACTTTTGACAGGGAGTTCCTCTTAAAGGTATTTTAAAAATAATCTGATTGACATTGTATCTGACAGAATAATAACTTTAATTTCAAATAGTCGATACAATCATGACTCAGCCTTTTGTGATTACAGAGGTAAATAGTAGTTTTGCATTAATCTCCCCCACCACTCTTGTACATATATGATACCAACATGTGCCATGGTCTTCCCCCCAAAAAGCAATAATATTTCTGTTTAATTACATACTGTTGCCTTCAGGGTTGCAGGTTTAACACTTGATAAATCATCTCTTAGGACAGAAATATATTCTAATGTAGTCTTCTAAGATCCAAATTGAAGGTTTTTTTATCTTTGGAACCTGTTCACAAAATTGGACATTATTTTAAGTTTCTACTTGAATTTTGTAGCAACATTAGCCTTTGAGTTTCTACTGTATTTATATCATACTTACTTCACCAGCAGGGAATGTACCAGATGAACTAATAATGCACTAACTCAGGTCTCGCTGTTGGTGGGGAGCATCTTCAGTGAGATCTTACGGATAAACGGGTTGAACTGCTTGCCATGGAGTATATACTAGGTCTAAAGGATTTGATTTTTTTTTACTTAAAAAAACTAGACTATTACCTTACCTCATAATGTCAGTAGGACAAAACAGCCATAAGTATTAAGCACTTGCCCCAAGGCTTGAAAGAAAATTTAAAGATCAAATTCCTGCTCAGTTTCTTTTTGTTGTTTGCTTTTGAATTTGACTTGTGGGGAGCTTTGGTGGTAAGAAGCTACACTGCAATCCCAAAGGCACTCAGTTGGAATCCACCAGCTGCTCCACATAAGAAAAATGGCAGTCTCTTACACTATTAACTGCCTCTCAAAACCTGCTGAAGGGTCAGCTATGGGTCAGCTCTGTTGATGGAATAATTTTGTATATGTGAACTGGTTTGTGAATCTGATGACCTTATAGGTAAGGCAGGCAATTCACATCCACTGCCTGCTCCATTTATAGCCTCTGAAAACCCACTAGTGCTAGCTATGAATCACTTAAACAAGTTGACAGCATGTAATGTAAGAACTGGAGGTTGGGACTTGTACTGCAGCACACAGACCATTCCTGAAGTTCATGTGCTGTGCTGACATGGGGAATCCTGTCAGCAGAAGACAAAGCATCCCTAAAAGGAAAGATTGAAGAACTTATGGCTGAGTGTTGGACAGTAATAGATCAGTCTATATCCCATTTCTGTGTAGTTTGCTTACATTATGGGATGAATATTGTCACTTAAAATGTATTGTGATTCTTAATTAAGTATACCTGTGATAGCACGCTGGTGGCAAAGTTATTCAGCTGCTAAAACAAAACCATTTTAATCAGTCAGCTGCTCTGAGAAAAGTGGCAATCACTGACTCAGAATGGACTCTGCAGCAATATGTGGTATACCTTTGCCTATAGAGTAGGTTTTCTTTGTTAAATTGATGCAGTATTAGGAAAGATGTGTCTTAATTTCTTTGAAATACTAACATGTAGTTTAAACAAGAGCACAGATAGAAGATACGTGCTTCACAATTGCTAAGGAACCTAGGAATAGAAGCTGACGAAAGACTTTTTTGCCAGAGCAGAAACCCACTAAACTGGTGCCATGGATTTAGATTTGTAGCTTACACTGAGAGAATAAATTTGTTTGCTGAAGCCATCGCTTGTGGTATTATATTAGAATTGTTAAGTGTCATCCAGTCAACTACTACTCATTAGGAACCTTGTCCTATCTTGAGCCAACCTTAACCATCTCTGATGTGCTTGTGTCAGTAGTCCGTCATGTTGAGGGTCTTCCTCTTTACTCTGACCCTCCATTCCCAACATGATTTCTTTTTCCAATGACTGGCCCATCCTGACAACATAGCTAACATATGTGAGATGGAGTTTTGCCATCCTTACCTCTTAGGAGAACCCTGGTTTTATTGTTGCCAAGACAAACTTGTTTGTTCTTTGGCAGTCCATGGGATATTCAGTACTCTTAACAAATTTCAAAGGCATTGACACTGTCATCCTTATTAGGTGTCCAACTTTTAGATTCATATGGAAACTGTTGACAAGACCCTGTCTTGGATTAGGTACACCTTCTTAGTCTTTAAAGTGACATCCTTGTGGTAGCACTTTGAAGAGGTCAATGACAGCAGATTTTGCCTATTATTCCTGAGGTGAGGTATTTTGTTTTCTTAATGTTGAGGTATAATCCATATTGAAGGCATTTGATCTTCAGCACCAAGTAAGTGTTTCAAGACACTTTACTTTCTACAAGTAATGTGCCATCTGCATAATACAGGTTGATTAGTATTCCTCCAATTCAGGTGCAACATTTATCATCAACATCAGCTTCTCACATGATTTGCTCAGCATGCAGATTGAATAAATGGAGAGTAAGGATCCAACCTTCTCTTGTTCTGTACAAATGACAGCTTTTTGGTCTGTAGATTCCAGGTGAGCATAATGAAGTGTTCTAGACTTCCCATCTTTTCAGTGTTAATCCATAAGTGGTGATCCACAGAGTCTAATGCCTTTGCATAGTCAATAAAGAACCAGTTAACCCCTTTTTGGTATTCTCTGCTCACAGCCAAGATGGGCTGACATTAGCAGTGGCATTCCTTGTAGCAAAGCCTCTTCTGAATCTACCTTGAAATTCTTCAAGTTCACTGTTGTAGGCATTTTTTTCCTTATATTTTTTTAATTAATTTTAATGAAAGTTTACAGAGACTTTGGATTTCCATTCATTCATTGTTACACTTTTCTCCCTGCCCAGCCTCCCCCCTAGATTGCTCTTCTCTTTGAAAAGTAAAATTCTTTCATTGTTATACAATCCCTCCCCCCAAGTACATTCCACTATGCAGCCTTCATTATGGACTCCTATCATGTCAATAATACCTAATCATATATCCCTTTTAAACAGTTCTCTCCCTCATCTTTTGCACTGTAATATACATAATGTATCCCCTCTTACTCTTCCCTCAACCCTGATGTCAGTCCCGTTTTACAACAGTGGCACATGCAGTATTTTTCCTTTTGTGACTGAGATATTTCACTCAGCATAATGTCCTCCAGAACCACCCATTTTGTATAATATTTCATGAGTTCCTTGTTTTTCAGTGCAGCATAGTATTCCATTGTGTGAATATACCACAGCTTCTCAATCCATTAGTTTGTTGATGGTCACTTAGGGTGTTTCCAACTTTTTCTATTGTGAACAAAGCCATAATAAACAGGGGCAGTTATGGTTTCTTTGGGGTATATTCCCAGTAGTGGAATTGCTGGGTCAAATGGTATTTCTATTTGCAACTTTTTGAGAAAGCACCATTACTGCCTTTCATAGTGGTTGCACTATTTTACACTGCTATCAGGAGTGAATAAGGGGTCTAGTTTTTCTACAACCTTGCCAGCATTTGTTGTTTGCTGTTCTGTTAACTTTTACTATTATTACTGGGATGCAATGATGTAGTTGTTTTGTGTTCTAAGCATTTTAAATAATCTTCAGCAAGATTTTACCTGCATGTGAAAGTAAATGATACTATTTGGTAATTTTCACATGCTGTTGGATCACCCTCTGGAGGAAGTGGGATGGCAAAAAATATTAAATGCTTCCAGTCACGTGGCCAGGTACCTATTTTGCATTCCATATTTGTTGTCATAGACTAGTGGACATGTGTAGGGTTGAATTCTGTTTATTGAAAACTTTCATTGGTGATCTGTCAATCCCTGGGGCCTTGACTTTTGCCAATTCCTTCAGTGCAGCTTGAACTACTTCTTTCTTTACCTTGATCTGTGTTAGTTCCTAACATGGTTCTATGTCCACTAATGATTTTTGAAACAGTGACTATATTCCTTCTTTTTTGTATTCTGGCTTTTTGTTTGTTTGGGTTGGTTTGTTTTGGGTGGTTGTTGGTGTTTTTTGGTTGTTATGGTATTTGTTTTTTTTTCCAGACCATGAATATTCTGTGCTTTTCTCTAACACCACAATTTTAAAACATCCATTATTCTCTCATCGTCCAGCTATCAGATGCATAGCAAGTGATTGTAAAGGCCATTACCTGAATCGGGAACTCCTTAGTCTTTAAACTGACATCATTGCTCTTCAGTATTTTAGAGAGGTCCCAGACAGTGGATTTGGCCAAATACAATGTTTCTCCTGATTGTGGATACTGATGGTGTTGACTGTGGATCCAAGTAAGAAATTATTGACAGGTTCAATCTTTTCTGCATGTTGCGTGTTGGTCCAGTGGTATGGATCTTTGTTTTCTTGATATTGAAATGTAGTCCATAATGAATACTGTAATCTTTGATCTTTTGCAGCAAGCATTTCTGCTATAAAATCGGGCATAGACTGTTGGACCCAGAGCCTGTACAAGGTGGTTTCTGGGAAAGAGCATTGTCATTTTCATTCCCCCTGCCTTTGTGAAGAGAAAACTTCTTTTAAGTGCTCATCTTAGTAAGGTGTAAGAGTAATGGGGAAACTTGAGAATCCACACAACTGTATATGTTAAAGAAGAGAAATAAAAAAGCCAAAGTCTTTTGGGGCTTTGCTGTAAAATAAAATCTGAGGGAAACATGCAATCCTAGAATCAACCTTAATCTTACTCAATGAGTACTAAAATTCTCACAAACACCCCTTGTGCTTACACCAGGTAGTGGTGCCATTGAGTCACCTCTGACTCATAGCAACCCTATGGACAAAAGCCCTAAGCCCTTCCTTATCTTGTGCCAATCTTACTGTCTCTGAAACACCTACCCCCATTAACCCAGTCACTGAATCAATCCATCTAGTCGAGGGTCTTCCTCTCCTGCACTGTCCCTCCACCTTCCCAAGCATGATGTCTCTCTCCAATGACTGGTCCCTCCTTTCAACATGT